TTAAGGGTCCCTGAGCCCGAACTTTGCCTTAAAGGAGTCGTATACCCGAAGCGTTAAAGTGATCTTCCCCTTCACAACAGACTTGGGCTGCCCTCCCCCCCCAAGTCGTTGTGCAGGGAAAATCGCTTCATCGTCACCACGAATACACAAATGGAAGTAGAATGCGTGCCGCAGCCTAAAACGGGATTGATCAACGGCGAGTGCTTTATCCTTTATTTATCTTTTTCTTCTCCAGACAACTCAACACCTCCGGATCACTACTGATCGCTTTTGCAGACCCATTTTATCCCAGAGCTTGCCTTTAAGCCAACGGAGCCTTCTTATATAAATGAAAGGGATTTGAGCGCGGCTTCCGGTGGAGGGCGAGAGAAGCTTTCCCTCGTTTCCTGCGCAGATGTCCTACTCGCAGAATAATGATAAAGAGTCCGAAGAGAATGTCGTGTCCAACCACCACACTACACATCGCCGTGCAAAATACATCTTTCTTTGGTTCGGCGGACGAAGACTCGTCGTATAACTGGTTTTGACACCACGACCGCACACATACAGATCTGTTGAAGTATACTATCTTAACAACTCATCATTATTTTCTTAGCATCGCTCCAATATGGAATCATATTGGGTTAGCCAGTCACGTCTACTGGGATGTTTGGATGTGCAATCCTGTTCCGTTTCCGGGTGTCACCTCAACTTAGCGCAATCCTCACAATCTCACGTGTGCAGTTTCGTGCTTCCTCTCGGATACCCACCTCACGTCATCTTTTTGGCAGGATGTGGTCGTGCCGGTTACTAGTAGAGTCTGGTTTCTCCCAAAATTGCCGTCACTAAAATTTGTAGCGAAACTGGAGCCTTTCAAATGAACTTAATGCAGAAACAACTGCGATGTCAAGATTGCGCTTTCTGTGAAATTCGGCTGTGCTGAACTTTTAAAGGATTTCTACGTTCCGAGGAAAGCTTTAGATTATTCAAAAAATGTGATATTTAACATGAAATGATCAGCTTAGTTGACACTACCAAGCACTGAGGAGCGCCTTAGATTTATCAAAAAACTATGAAGCGATTAACCCTACCTGATAGCAGCTAGCGCTGTTTGCTCCAGCGTCCCGGAAATTAGATGGGCGGAACAGTGTAGTGCCTTAACATCGGCAGATATCGAAATTGTACTGCAGTGGGATATTGCGATGCTTCTTAAGCTCCAGTGTACATCACCCTAGTCCAGTTTCTATTAACATGGAGATTTCTTTTTTTCGCAGACAAAAACTTCCTTCATTTTTTTGCGAAATGTAAGCATTATTTCTTTCAATGTCTTACGACACCCCTTTTCCGAACGTTTTCGCCTTTGGCAACTTTCTTTCTACAAACGTTTCTCTTTGTTTCGCTTGATTTTCTTGACCTTTTTTTGGATCTGATTCTATGGTTACTGCCGACATATGAAATCCCACCGCCAGTATCTCCATTCCCTTTCTGAAAATTTTGCTCAAACCTTTCTGAATTTGCTCAAGGTCAAAAGTATACTTCATTACTGTTATAAAAATATAGAGGCCCTTTAATGACAATATATGTTGGGGTTGCCATTATGGCAATGTAACACCATCTTCACTGCTAAGTTTTTATTTCGACTGATTATCAGTCATTCACCTACTAAAGTATGAGATAAAAAACTTGTAATTTAGAAATGGACTGACTAATTTTAATTGTAGGCCTGGCTTCTGAGATGGAAATCTCTATAGATGCCTAAATTTAGTGTATTTTCT